AGTGCCCGTCCATCTCCATCCTGGCAGTGCTTTACCRTGATCATTCCTCCTGGAATAATCCTAGGATTGTGGTGGAGAGAAATGAGGGCAGATCCAGAGAGGTGTCCTTGGTTGATGAGATACCCTGCCTTTTGCTCGTCCATTTTGGTCTTCTCCTTATTAGTGCTATTATCATTCTTATGCATGATGTGCCAGGCTGTYATGCTGGTTAGTGATGAGTTTAGCCTTTAGCTCCACTTTGAGGTTAATAACTGAAGTGTGCATTTTAGAAAGGCATCCAGTCTACATTTAGATGTGATTTTTCTCTTATTAGTTCATTCTAATTAATAATCGGTGCAGGAAAGAAGAGCAGCTGCTGTTGATCTGCACGGTATGGGGATGAGCTTTGCAGCAGGCAGAATCCAGCACCTTCCTGAAGGCCGTTGGGCCTCTGAGGAGCCGCAGAGCTTGGAACTGAGATACTGGAGTCTGTGGTGCAAGGAAGGGATGTCACATAGGGGCTGACATGAGAAAATGTAAGGGAAACAAGAACAGCTTCTTTGGAGTCATTACAATTTGGTTAATAAAACATCGTGGGCCATGTTGAGAAACAGGTTCTCAACCTCATGCTGAAATTTGAGCCCTGTTTAAGCCACTGACCTCAGTGCTGTCCTTGAGAGTTTTAGCACTGTTTTGCCTTTAATATCATAGAAAAGAAGGWCTGATTTAGCTCTGACTCTGTTTCGTAACTTCACCGTGGGTATCTGTGCCTTCCACCCAAGGATTATGCACTGACGTGCAGGAACTATTTCTGGCTGTAGCTAACTTTTAAGACATATTAGCAGCATTCTTGTTCTCTATGGGTTATCATCTGTCAAATTTGAGGTCTTTAGAAATGTAATGGCTGAGCCAATTTTCTTTTTTTTGTTTTTGTTTTTGTTTTTGTTTTTTGTTTTAGGAGGTTTAGCCTGTTGCTCTCTGAAGATGCTACAGGGGCCAATTGAAACTGTTGTTCTACTTTTCATTAATGCTAAAGATTTCTTCACTGATCTGCCGACCCCGCTCGCTTAGAGCCGCCTTTTTGGCTTTGGGTGTTTGGCTGTGACCGAGCAGACGCCCCTGGGAGCCTTTTTGTGGTCCCAAGAGTCTCCTGCCGTCTTGAAAGCAAGCTTGACTTGGAGCACTTAAACTGGGAGTCTGCAATAAGGCCCAGTGCTATTAGAACAAGTTAACGGGGTAAAGGGCTCCCAGGTAGGGAAATACCTTTTTTGCCCTTATCACCGTAGCCTTCTTGCTCTAAAATCAATCCCATTGACCCTCTTTTCCACGTTTTTCTCACTTACAAAACAATGTCGCTTTTATTGTCTATTTTGCAGGGTGTCATGATGCCTGGTTAATGTACATAGGAATTGTGTAAATGAAAAAATACCCAGGAAGGAAGAGAGCACTAGTTTGCTGTCTGACAGTTGTCACCAAAGGAGAAATTGTGTCTTCAGCGAGTGCTTCACGTAATCGCTGCTGYTTCCAGAGAGCAAATTCTTGGTGACATTGTAGCATTTTCATCTGCTTTTATCATTTGTGTGGTGCCACTTACTTCTGTTTACTTGCTTGAGTCTCTTTCAGCAAAATACTTCAAAACATTTTGTAGTTTCCTACAATTGTCTGAGCAGGGATTTGTAAACATGAGCAAATAGAGATTTCAGCTAGCAAGTAATGCCTGAGAGGATGGATTTCTATTTAGCCCAAATAAGGCAAACGCAGGGATGTATCTTATAACAATGTCTTAACTCCCTTAACTTCAAATTTCAAACTTTATCAGGATATTGACACCTGAGGGGTTCTGCTTTTTGCCTGTTTATTTTGCCATTATTCATTTTCCCCTAARACAGTTTTCCATAGACTTTTGTTGGGACAAAACGATGCAAAGAGTCGTGTTAATACTAGAGTATTAACAGAGCATAAGCGCAAAGTGCTTAAAGAAGATGCTCCCCCGCTGAAACACATCACCCAGTCGTGCTACAGCACTGCCTCTGCTAGTCAGAAAGAGGATAAAATGTCAGTGCAAATTTTCTGAACGCATCTGCCTCCCAGTTCACCTCTTGTTGGGAAGAATCATTGGATTTTGCAATGACAAGGTCTTGCAATCCATGTTTTGCTCCTTCTACTGTTTGTACAAGTCGATGGGGGGTTTCTTGGTAAGTCAATATAGAGGCCTTTTTTCCTTCTTTCTGTGACCTTTTGGATATTTTCACTCCAGAGTTGACTCCAACATCTCCCCAGAGTTGACTGTAGTGGCTCTGGTCCTAGCTCATGAAGCAGTCTAGCCCAGAAGTGGCAGTGGCTGATGCAAAGGTACCCAGGGAAGCAGATAAGCACAGGCAAAGCAAGGTAGTGTTTCTGCCCTCTCTACAGCCTTCAGTTTTCTGCGGCTTAAGGYTGCACAGCCCCGGGAGGAGACCTTCATATTCCTCAGTGAACTGGGCTGCCACTGATGTGTCCTGCCACTTTSCGAGCCAAGACTTTCAGCTCCTGACATGCCTGATATATAGCTCCTTGTTATTCCTTATGCCTCCTGCAAACTGCTTTTGAAACTCTCCTTGTCCACTTTATTATGTTTATCCTGCCAGAAACCATCTGGTTGATCATGCATCAACTTTTCAGTGGAAATAGAGGCTAATGGTTCTCCAAGCCCTTCTTCTAAGCTAACTTCTCCATCTTTCTGAGCACCAAAGATGTATCTCTACAAGAAGAAGGGTAGCTCAGCTTGCTGCGTAATGARCAACTGTGGTGCTGCTTCCAAAATTCCCAGGAACACATTTAGGATGACTCCAAARAGATCCCGAGGCGAGGGAACAAGGCTTGGCCTGGTGGCTGCGTGAGCACTGGCCTTTCACATGCCTGACACGTGACAATTAGCTCTCAAGTTCCTAACACTCCAGTAAAATCATTCTCCCTTACTCTTCTTTTTTTCCCTCTTAACAGCAAGATTAAACCTTCTTGCAGCAATCAGAAAACTGTTTTTAAAAGTTTATTTAATGCAAAGTACCTGGAAAAGGGATTGTCTCCTTGAAATAATTACTGCAACTGCCAAAGAGGTGCAGACTTCAAAGTAGATTAGTTCAGCGCCGAGTGGATTTTATTTGAGAAATTTATTTATTTAATAATTATTTATTATTTATCGTGTTGGTAGAATGTGCTGAGGTAGCTGTCTGGAGGAGTTAAGCTTTCTTATCTACACATGCTGTAGAGAACTGACAAYCAACCCGAATTATCTTCCCTGACTTTGAGGAAACTTTTAGTGCGAGCAGAGCACTGTGTGCTGTTGGAAAGATGGCAGATCCCGAGAGGTTTTTTATGGGCACATCTGCTGAGGGCTGCTGCTGCTTTACGTAACTGGGGCTAATGGCACAGCCATCTCATGGTGAGTCTTGACTCGTGGCCTGCCGTGGATTTGCCCTATTACCCTCGAGACAAAATACATGGTAGGCTTTCTTTTTTTTTTTTTTTTTTTTTTTGCAATTTGACCAATTACACTGCATTACACAATGGTAGTTGCATAAAATATGCTGTCTACTCCAATTAAAAATGTTTATAAGTCTTGTTTTTTTATACAAAAGGTTTTTATACAAAAGGTCTTTGGGTGAGAAGACAACTTGGGTTTAAAAATACACTTTCTGGTTATGTGAATCTCTTGCTATTTATATGTGTATTTGGGCTTTGTGGAAGTTTCTTCAGAAAGGGTATCCTCGCTCACRAATAGCAGCTTGAATCACTGCGGCCTTGTATCCCAGTGCGTTTCTTGCCACTTGGACCTGCCACTCCTGTACGTTCTTGCACAAACCACCTGCGACTCGCCTTCAGAATTKGTGCCTTTGCTCTGCTTTCCTCTCCCAAAGGAATTAAAAGTCTGTCTGCATCTCAAGCTGTTGTTGGCCCTCCTGTTTTCTYCATCTCCGCTCAAACGCTCCAGAAATGCTGTGCAACTCCCTTACAAAACCGTGTTAAAAATCAACACATTCAGTATTTTTCTTTAGTTGGTTCCGTGTGAAAATCAGAGTAATTCTGTAAAGCTGAATATTAATAACCATGATAACACGATGCATTTTTAATGAAGTAGWTGCCCACATTGGAAATTAGGTCATTCAGATTTTCTTCTTGCATTAAAGGCTAGAAACGAGTCTCATGTGAAAGCAGAGTTCAAGACCAGTATTTTATACTGATTATAAGCAGTGTGCAGGTTGTATTTGGAAGGCAAAACATATATGTATATATGTATTTGTGTATATATACATATATGTATATGTAAATATATATTTTATCACTAGTATCTCTTACAGAAGCTGGCAAGTCTGGAATTGAAACAGAGGGCAAAGATTATCAAAATTATGTGTTTTAAGATGTATTTTTGTGCTCTCTCCCAGTTTGAACCAAGATAGGAGTCGGATTGCAGATATTTGCAGCAYATATTTGTAAAGGTTCCAATATGAACAGCTCTTTGCAACACAAAATATGTTTTTTCCTTTTGTCATTGGCATTAACGTACCTGAAGAATTGTAAATATTAGACAGTTAAAATTTGATCTTTTAGAATTGCAAATTAGTCCTYTCTGCATAGGAGAATCTTGCTAGATTCTAGATCTTGCTTATTGCTAGATTTCTAATAAGTATGTCCTGCAAAATTAAAAATCATTGCGTGCAAGATGCCAGTTTCTGTGGTCTCAATAAACAACAGAAATACAGATCTGAATGTTCCCAGCCAGATATGAGCAGCAAAAGTGCTTGTGTCCAGTAACCTTTAGAAAGTTGAAAATGCTCTTGAATTCTTAACTAGTTACTAGTTACTACATCTCTTGCAAAGCTATTTAAAATTTTGKTATATCTGAAATTAATATGGCTTTTTATAAGGATTTACCAATAATTATTAACTTTTGTGATCATCATACAAAGTGTATCATTGGTAGATGTAAAGTGTAKTTGAATTGTTAGGAAAAGAATCTAATTGAAACTTTTGTTTTCTTTCAGCTCCAACGATAAACCGATTCACAAGACGGGCATCGGGTAAGTTGGCTAAAGCTGCATGTTTCCTTGGTCTACATAATAYATGAAAATAATGGTGATTCTGACTGCAATGTAAAATATAATATGACATTAATCAGTTTTCTGTGAAGATGACTGGTTTATTTCAAATTTCAAGTACGGTTTGCTGAAAAATGTCATCAAGGTCAAGGCTGAAGTCTTGTTGTGGAATTCATGAAAATATAAATTGGCTTTTTTTTTTCCCTTGAAAAAATCAATACTAGTCTTGACAGGACTGAACATAGAAAACATGAACATAAAACATGAAACATGAAAACATGAACATAATTGGCTCTGGTGTTGTCATGCTTATTTCATAGACAACTTGAAGCAGCAGTTTGGTGGACACATGTGCAGGAGAAAATGTACAGCCATGTGAGCAATCTCCAAAATGTTAACAAACTGAGCAGGGGTTTGTGTACGTGGGGCATCTCTGCAGAGCTGTCAGATGGGTCCCAAACGCAACGTGGTCCTGACAGCACTGTGTTGGGCTGTGTTAGTGCCCTGTGCTCCAGCTTAGCCTGGTGCCGTTCTGCCTGAGCTGCAGGTTAGCTCCGTTAACACTGCCTTGGAGAACTGTTTGCCTGTTTCCATTACAACATGGAAAGGATCCCCCTGGATTATGTTAGATGAAAAATTAATACTTTCAGCCCTTCTTAGTTGTCCTTTATGTTTCCTATTTTCAGTCTTTCTCTGCTGAAGCATGCGGCCCAGAACTTTATTCTATTTATTTTTGAAATAATATGAATCTGAAAGCAAGGTGTAAAACCCCCCTTAAGTATGATGAGATTGATGATGCRCTCACAGGAGTCAGCAGAACGGGCAATGTGAGCTATAGCTAGTCAGCTTAGTATGCTAACCTTAAAATCTAAATTTTCATAAAAGAGTTTACATTTTTAGTAAATGTAATAAAGTGTGTGTTCCACAATCCAGAAAGTCAATCCAGAATTCTAGGTTTTCTTTCARTGGTCTCAGCCAGATAGTTTCTTGTCAATAAAAATATTAGTGAGGTTACTAAGATGAGAACTGTAGAGAATAAATGGAGATAGGCATGTGCAGGACTGGGGCCTGTTATGTGAAGCACACTGTAAGAAAGCATAATTTGTTCCAAAATACCCTCATATTAATGGTTTTAATTTTTGCTACTACTTTATAAGGTACATGCAGCGTGAAATAAAAGGGATGATTCGTAGCTGGCACTCACTAAGTGAGCGGGGCGTTATGCAAATCGTGCTGCGTGTTTTAAGCAAGGTTTTACTGGGGCTGATTGACAGCTGACTTTAATCAATGCTGTCTTTTCAGCAGATATGTGATAGGACTGTGCATTTCAGTAGGAGAGCTGGAAAAGTTAATGCTTGCTCAGAAAAAAAAATGGCAGTTATTTTTAATGTCCCTTTGAAAGGAAACTAGAAACAGGTCTGGAATTTTCGCACACTTATTGGAGAAAAATATAAATACTTTTTAATATTTAATGTGCTTAGGTCTTTTGTGGAGAGATAAAATTGAGTTATCTTTRTCAGAAAAATAAGTGGAATTGTATAAGACTCTTTAAGATGTAAATCCAGTAAGTGGAATTCAATATGTGTTACGATAAGGATGCAGTCTGCAAGCCGCAGAAATGAGCAATGCTTAATTAAGCTGCAGCAAGGTAATAATATGATCTACTCTRTGTATTATTTTATTAATTTTCAGGGCAGCTTTAATAGTCAAAGTATTTTTTTTTTTCAAACAAGAAAAGCCATGAAAGGTGATAGTTCTTACTACTTAAACGCTAGACAGCTACCAGAGAGATACAGGATATTTAAACAAGTGGATTGATCAAATACTAAATGTGACTCAAACTATATTGATCCGCAAGCATTTTACAGAGATGTTTGTGCCAGCCGCCTTTTTAGACAGTGGCTTTACTTTTTATTGAACAACTGTTTGGATACATTGAGGTACTCAAGATACTTTGCAGATGGAAACACCRGATCTAGAGCAGAAGCTTTCCACGCTTTCCACCTTTGTGGCATTCTGGAGTCGAAGATGATTCTCCTACTTAGGAATGGAGCAGCTGACCAAAGGAAGAATTCTTTGTTTTTCCAAATACGGATTTCTGGGGGTTTTTTAAGCTTAATAAGAGCTATTTTTAAAAAAGTAAAATGTGTGAGGGCTTTGATTCTGTTGWGCCATGGAAATTTTCTTGAAGATTTGCTTCTGATAAATGTTGCTGGGTGCTAACAATGAGTAGAGTGGCAGTGATCCAATGAGCACTGGGGCAGCTCTCCGTGGCGTGTGGGGATGGTGGTAGGAGATGTTTCCCTGCCCTCCTTCCTCGCACGTGTGCCCAAAGCCACCTCGCTTCCYTGGGCACGTCGGGGCTCATGGCCTGCAGGCTCCTGGTCTGACAGGAACAGCGGGAGCTCCATTCTTTGCTGCATTGATTTCCATTTGCATCTCCCACTGACCCAGGCTGTGGCTCCCAGATAACTCGCTCCAAAACTGCGGATTTTACGTGCGTGCCACCACAGCAGTGGCTGGAGCTGCCGAGTTTAGCCAGGGGTGGGATGGAGGAAGGGCAGCGTTGTCCCTGCTGGTGGTTGTCTCACTCGCASTAGGAGTGAGGGAAAACACAAGGTCACCCAGAGCAAAGACTCCTGGACTGCCCTGCTCAAAGCTGCTTTTCGAGCTTTTGCAGTGAGRGGAAAGTCAGATGATATCCATTTATTCACAACAAATAATAACTTGCTGCAGTGGGTGTGTTGATTTTGATGTCTCAGTTATGCTATGGGCAAACTCTAGTGTTTTACTTAGTGGCATAAGCTGTGGCTATTTTTCTAACCTGAGCTAGCAATTAAGCCACCAGAGAGTAATGGCTAAAGCGCCTGCTGAAAACAATATAGTGAGGCATTTATTATTGAACAGCTGGTCCTGCCAACATGCTGTGAGTATATTCATGTACTGCCACTGTACACTGTAAAGGATAAAGGAATAAGTAAGCTAGGATCCATTAATTGTCTTGAATTTCAGTTCTTAAAATGTATGCATCTATATAATTTAGTGTGTCTTATCGGTATGTCTGTGTATGCAAAGTGTGTTCTAGGCATAAAATATGCATCCACAGATACCGTGCTGCTGGTGGTGTAGCTACCTGCAGACTAGTTAGTCACGTGCTGCATTGTTCTAGGCTGAGTACAAATAATAATGGATTTCATAGCCTTAAATAGACAAGGTAGGCAAGAAGAGGCAGCTAGAAATACTTAATGCAGATAGAATGAACAGTCAGGTTGCTGCTGATACTTTAATCCTGAAATTTTCTTTAAGAGCTGGTAGGATTAGGATAGAAAAAAAGGAGAAAAAATGCTSAGGCAATGAGGAGACATGGACGGGAGGAGGGGGGGACGTGGAGGTAGGGGCTGCATGAAGCTGAAGAGCAAGTTGTGAGTATGCTCACAAGATGAAAAATGATGTGGAGATGCTAGAATGAAATGAGCTCGCCAAGAGGTGCAATTTCTGAATATAGACAGATGCTCTTTTTGCTGTGGATGAAATTTCCATCCATTCGAGTACATGGTACCTAGGTTTGGAAAGGTGATGCTGCTCTGTGTGTTTGCAGAGCACTGASCTCTTGCTTTTCACCCTCATGAAATGAATCTTGGATATGAAACCTGCACGGGGCTGCTACAGAATGAGGTTGACTTTAGACTTAGTAGATATCACTTATGAGGGCTGTTTTTATCCATTAATTAGTATTAAGTACAAGTGCATGGTGTAGTCTTTAATTAAGATAACAGTTTTATAAATTTACTTCAGGTCTGTTCTTGCTTAAGCTTTTGAAATAGTAGAAAGAATCTAAATGTTGTTTCCATGAGTTTACTATGCTGAAAAGAATTGGTAAGTTCAAGGGCATATGGGAAGCATCTCTTATCAAGAACAGAGATAAGCTCCTCATTCCTCTCCCCAAACATCATCCGACTTCAAAATGCCCTTTTATTCTCAACAGAAGAGAAATAAATTGCACTTTAAATAATGTTATGAATAATGTTCAACAAGCACGTGGAAAAGAAGAGASAAGTTGCTCTGTTTTGTGCCTTTTGTTTTTTATTCAGCTTCTCCACCAAGTTCTAAAAGAAAATAACTTAAACTAGAGACAGAGTGTATCAGGCTTGATCATGTAAGGAAAAACTGATAAAGATACAGCTGAAATGACTTTGCAATTGAGGAAATGCCACTGTCATGGAAAGAACGGGAGGAAGCAGGAGAGGTGACAGCTCCCAGGCTCGCTCTCCTCCACGGGTGCTGGAAAAGACTGCTCCAGAGAGAAGACAACAGCACGTTAAATAGAGTGAAGTTTACACATCCCGGCATAATCATCAATCTTAGAATGAGAGAAAGTCTTCTAAGACACTGGAAGAGATCTCTGTGCATTTTTTTTTTTTTTAATAATATTTTTCTACTCTGGAACTTCTGAAACTAGGAAATATTTGCTGCCTTTACACAAGAACTGTCACTTGCAGGCAGCTTTACATGGCTGACTAACTGAAGATGAAAGGCTGAGTCAGACAGCTTCTTTCAAAAGGAAACTGGTTGTACACTTTTTAGAAAGTGCATGTTTAATTTGTTTAGCAGCTACTCAAATTCAGAATATTTGACTACAGAGATCAAATCACTTCTTTGATTCTGTTGTAATTTCTAATTACCTTTGGCCTTGGTTTCTTCACCTGTCGCTTTTTCAGCTACTGCTGCAGTTACACAAGCAGTTACACAAACTCACTGTATTTAGCATTACAAATTTTATTCTTACRAGCCAACAGATCAGGTTTTCACCTGTACTTTGAGGTAAAAGAAGGAGGTGCAGCCTTCTCTTTACCCCTAATTACATGAAATGCCCCAAAGCCACGCAAGGGCACTGCAAGTGTCTAAKGCAGATGGTGGTTAATTTGAAATGGTAGAGCAGATCATTTCAATTCGTTTCTGCTCGGGGCTTGCAATTACTTAAA